GGTGCAATCTCAGAATCGAGGGTAAGAGGAAAAGGGAGTGCGCAGGGAAATCAAGAGAAGCAAGATGAAGGTGAATTTCTGAGCTGGCCAACCCTTGGTACCAAAGGTATCCAGATTGCTGGATCTTGCGGGACCATCTTCCAAGAGGCTTTATAAAGAATGTGACTCATAACAATTCCTCTGGGTTGAGGAAAGGGAAGCATGTATTCACATTATTTCATTATCTCATGTGTCAGGGGCAGCAGAGCAGCCCCAAGGGATGATGGGAAGCTCGAAAAGGTGGCAAGGCTAAAGGAACTGAGATGGGTAGACTAGAAGCATCTACTCTGGCATGGAGATGCTAGGCCAGGGGGATTTAGGAGAGACCACCAAACTTTGCCAAGCCTAATACTGCACAAGAATCCCAGTTAGTTCTATGCCCTTGCCAACTCTGGGTGTTCAGCATTAACCATTCCAGTGGCTGTACCATGGTGGTGTCTCTCTCTGGCTTTAATTTGCATTTCCCTGATGACTAAGGAGGTTGAGTACCTGTTCAGGAGTTTATCAACCACTGGAGATCCTCTTTTGTTTTCTTTTTCTTTTTGTTTTTTGTTTTTTTGTTTTTTGTTTTTTTGTTTTGTTTTTTTTTGAGACAGGGTCTCACTATGTAGTTACATAGTTGAGATTGACCTGGAACCCACTATATAGCCCAGGCTGGTCTCGAACTCACAGCGATCCTCCTACCTCAGCCTCCTGAGTGGTGGGATTACAGGCGTGCACCATGACGCCCAGCTTGGAGATCCTCTTTTGGGAAGCACACTCTTTAAATTTTTTTGCTGTTGATCTGATACATACAGTTTAGATAAAAATCATTTTTTTTACATTTGCTGATACAAGGCCTTTATCCATCATATGCATTGAAGTCATTTCTCTCACATGCCTTTTGATTCACAGGTATTTATAATTTTAATGTAGTCCAACGTGTCACCTCTTTTACTGCCAGTTCTCCCCTTGTCCTGTTTAAGAAAATGGATTTTTATCTCCTCTGTATCTCCTAGCAGCTTTGCTGTTTTCCCTTCCACACGCATCCACCTGGAGTTGTGCAATAGTTTGGACCAGGAGTGTTCCCCAAAGCCCATGTATCAAAGGCCCAGCTTGGTGCTATTAAAGATGGAACCTGTAAAAGGTGGAGCCTAGAGTGAGGTCTTAGGTCATTGGTATCAGGCCCTCAAAGAGATAGTAAGAATCCAGCCCCCCTCCCACCAATATTTGCTTCCTGGTCACCATAAGGCAAGCAGCTTTGTTCTGCCATGCACTCCCCATTATGATGCACTGACTACCACAGGACAAAAGGCAATGGGACCCATCAGTCATGGCCCAGAACTTTCAAAATGAGGAGCTAAAGTAAACCTCTTCTCCTTCTAAGTTGATTCTCTGAGGTATTTCTTGCAGTAATGGAAACTAAGACAGATTTTAGGGTATGGGGTAAATTAGAGGTGAGAGCAAGCCCCTCCCCCGTGTTTGTGCTCTAATACTCCATCACTTATTGAAAAGTCTGTCCCTTCCGCTGTTCTGCAATGTCAACTTTGTTGCAATAAACTCAGGACAAATCTCTTTCTGCATTTCCTGTTTTGTCTCACTAGTATATTTATTGTAGCACCAATACCACACTGTTTTCCTTACTATACTCTAAGCTCACCGGTTTGCTCATATATCAACTTGCTAAGTTTCACCCCTCAATTTCCTCAAAAATCCAGGTAAATAACAACTCTCCAGTACTTTGTAATTATATCATCTATTGATGGATTCTGTAACTCAAGGTGGAGAAAAATTTAAAATTCCAATCCATGAACATGGTGCATCCCTCCATAGTTAATGTCTTTAGCAATTTCTTTCAGTAATGTGTCATCGTTTTCTATGTAGAAACTGTACACATCACTCATTAGGTTTATCCTTAAGTAGTTGACTTTTATGCTATTACAAATTTCATTTTCTAATTGTTGCTGGTATATAGAAATTAGATTTTTTGTGTTGAATTTATATCCAGTGACTTTACTAAATCAACTTATTAAAATTTATCTACATGTTTTTACTTTCTACGTACCCAATTGTCATCTGTGAATGAAAATTTTATGTTGTTTTCCTTTCTAATCTTCACACTTTTAATTCTTTTTCTTGTTTTATTACACTGACCAAAACCTCCAGTACAATATTTGATAGAATTGATGAATACTTTATTATTTTCAATATCAGCGGGAAAGCATTTAATATTTCAATATTTTAAGCATGATAATATCTGCGAGTTTTTTTAGTGTGTGGGCGTGTGTGTGTGTGTGTGTGTGTGTGTGCGCGCTTGTGTGTGGGTTTTTTTTTCTACCTTGGGGTTTTGTTTTTAGGTACACACCTTTACCAGATAAAGGGAGTCCTCTTCTATTTTAATTTGCTAAGAGTTTTGTTTAAACCATAGGTGACTATTTTTGTATCTACCGAGAAGGTCCCATAGTTTGCCTTTTTACTATCTTAACGTGGGGCATCACGGTGATTTCTGGATGATAAACGTCTTGCTACCTTTTATTCCCATTGGGGGCTCCACTTCAGTTCTGCTAAAACGACCTCCTTCCTAAGCTAGGATCCTGGACAACCACCCGCAAACTCCATCCGAGCAGAGCCAGCGCACCCTCTTCCCTCAGACACAGACTCCACACTCCAGGCTCATCCTCGAAGAGCACAGGCCTCCGGCTGCACTCTCACCCAGCACACCAAGCGCTGCACAGGCAACTGAGTGGTGAGTGAAACCAGGAAAGGTCAAGGCCCTCCAGATCCCTAGCACCTGCGCCCACCATTCAGCCCCCGAGCTAAGCCTCCTTCCCCACCCCACCTTGCGCGAGGCTCCTTTAAGAGAGTCTGCAGCTGAAAGCGTCTCTGGGACTGGAGGCGTAGGTCGCCAAGAATGTCGGACTCCGACGAGCGGACTGGAGCTCGGAGGATGAAGCTTCTCCCGGTGCCCTCCCCCTCCACGTTCCCCCAGCACGTCCACCCTGAGTCCTCCCGACTCCGCTCCTACCCTCAGGTTCCCGCCCCAACTTCGAGGTTCCTGG